TAAAACTTCCAGATTATTGAAATAATATTTATCATTTTAAAAATCACATTGCTAAAGTCATTCTTTACCTTTTTAGTAATTAGCCAAAAACACCTCCAATTTTCCATTTTATTAAGGTTTTTTAAATTGTCTTTATTCACGTTTTTTAAATTGTCTTAATTCGCTTTATTCACTTTCAAAACTGGGGCATGATCTCGACTCACTGCAACCTCCAGCCTCCTTGGCTCAACTGATCCCCTTACCTCTGTCTCTCAAATAGTAGGGACTACAAACATGTGCCACCAAGGCTGACTATTTTTTGTATTTTTGTAGAGATGGTGAATCTCAACATATTTCCCAGGCTGGTCTTGAACTCCTGGCCACAAGTAATCCACCTGTCTCAGCCTCCCAAAGTTCTGTGATTACAGGCATGAACCACTGTGCTTGACTCAAAAATACTTTAAACTACAACTTTCCAATAACTTGAAGATTTAAAAGCCAAATACAAACTTTCAAAATGCTAACAAAATAACTAATAATTTTTTTAAATTACTAAAGTCAAAACAAAAATTAATTACATAAAATGTAATAACAAAAACATTATAAATTTTATTTAAAATATTCTCAAATTATTTTTCAAATTTAAAACTTTTGTCTTTTAAAGTACAATTTATAATAATTTAATAAAATATACTTCCATAAGCAAAAGTAAAATTGTTTTTTAAATTTCTCCAAAATTTGAAATATATTTTATTTATGACAAAATATAATTAAAAACATAGTGTCACCAAAACTTTAAAATGTCAGATTTTAAAATACACATGAAATGTCTAACCTCAGGAGTTTCCAGCCTTACAATAAATAAATAATGTAAAATTCTCACTTCCTGACAGGCTCCCAAACTTTAAGGCTGTAAGGAAAATTTTAATTCTGCCTTAGTTTAGCTTTCTAGTTTCAAAAATCAATCTTTTAAATACAGAATCCATAGCTATGCAATATAATAAAAGTTATATATTTTTTAAATGGCTATTATACATTATTAAAGTGTAATGCTACATAGTATTTTGTAAATTCTTTTAGGTCTGCCAATACAGCTTTATTCCATAAAATTACTAAAATAAAAATTTGCTTCCAAAGCTGTAAACTAAAGCTAAATAAATATTTTTAAATGACTGTTGTAGCTAATATATGGATGACACAAAAAGTTTGCCAAAAGGTCTAATACCGTAACCAAAAACATTCAAAGTACAAGCCAAGAAGAAAAACATTTTCTATATTATAACCAGCTTTTCCAAGGTATGAGAACAAAAGTGAATATTATAATAAAACTTTTACCTCCCTAAATGCCTACTTTTTCACTTGAGAAAATAATACTATAATTACAATTTCAGAATCAATAACTACAATAAATAAATTGATAAAATATAACTTATAAATATCTTTAAAGTCTATCTGATGGAAAAGTCTGACAGTATCCTTAATACAAAAAGTTGTATTAAGGATACAACTTTTTGTATTAAGGATACAAACAAAATATCACATTGTACACTTTTTGTTCAAAATTATAGATGTAGTCACTTTTTTTAAAAAAAAATATTTATTTTACTTTAGGTGCTCCTGTACCTGAGCCCATGTATTCTCTTTTATAGAGTTAACATTCTCTGCTTTAATTCAATCCAGTGATAAAACTTAATGACAGCAGGTTTCACACAGTGCTCTTAATTTATTTAGTTGGTTAACATAGATTTAAATTGTCAATTCAAAACTATTATACTGTTTATTATATTATTTTCCCCTTATTTCTATATAGTGTTAGTTATTTTAATTATAAATGTTTAAATTTTGTTCTTATTGCCTATAATATTTATAAAGCCACCTCTCCCAACAAAATAATGTTAACACATCATAATAATTACCAATACCTGTAAAACTAATAAACTCAGTGCTAAATATCAAACAAACCTACCCTACAAAATATTTGTTTTCTGGCCTGTTGCTCAAATGTTACTCTGGTCTCTGAAATTCATCCACATCTTTCTGTTTACCTTAAAGACAGCCAAAACAACTCCATCTCAATACCAAAACACAACTTCATCTAATTTTAAGATAGCTGGTTCTGGAGAAAATAAAGTAATGTTCTCAGTGAAGGATCTTAGATCAAAAAATTGTGAAAGTTGATCATATGAATTGGGTCATTCTTTTTACACCCAGCTAACGCAGTTGAGAGTCCAAAAGGAAAAAGTATTTGGATCACATAATAATGCTACAAGAGTGTAACTCTCTGCTGTCCTGGCTTCTGAAACTGCCTGATGTAACCTGAGTCCAGTTTTATTTAATAGCTAGTAAAGCAACCTGCTGGAAGCCTAACATTAATTCTTCATTACCATCAGTTACCAGTCAGAGCTGGCAGCTCCCCAACACTTTACTAGTGCCAATGAACTTTCTTGAAGAGCAATATGTAACTTTTCTTTCTGCCTTTTTTCTCTCTTTTCAAATGAAATATTCAAGTTTCTTTTTGTTTCTCAGACATGCTGAAGACTCCATGGTCTGAGTATATGCCTTACATTGCAATTCTTCCTTCTCAAAGAATTTTAAATTTAGAGATCTCTTTATTTTATTTGAATTTGACACAGCCTTGGGATAAGGACATTTGTAACTGCCTACTTGTACCCTCTAAACTGGCTAGTCTGTATAGCCTTCTGTTTTTATTAAAGAGGAAGAAATGGAGGGTTGGAGGAGGTGAAGTCTGACTTACTCAGGGTCAGATAGCTAGGTAGCAGAGCCAGGTTTCACACATATTCACCAGTGTGCAGAGCCATAGATTACACTGCCTGTATCACAAGCCATTCACACATGTGTTTGCCTTTTACCAATGTCTCCATGCCTTAGATGGGTTCTTAGGCATAAGACTGTATTTTTTAAAGTGGACACTACCAAGCTATATAGCAGCCCCAGTGCAAAGTTTGTTGTGCAATGACATGTTTTCTTTCCTGCAGGATTTGGTCTTGTACTGCCTGGAGAACAAGCATTGTGATGTAAATCATCAAGACAATGCAGGTTATTGTGCTCTACATGAAGCTTGTGCAGGTGGATGGCTCCGCATTGTGCAGCACCTTCTTAGATATGGTGCTGATGTTAACTGCAGTGCCCAAGATGGAACCAGGTTAGTGGTGTGTTTTGCTGTCAGTTTCGTGGTTCAGTTTAAGGGACAGACAGTGATTTTCACAGTATGCAGGAATTCCTGGAGAAAAGATGAGTGAGGAGTGCAAAATCATCTCAGAACTAAGTCAAGCAATACTGGAAACTCATTCTCAGCAAACTGACACAGAACAGAAAATCCATACCACATGTTCTCAATCATAGGCAGGTGTTGAACAATGAGAACACATGGACACAGGGAGGGCAGCATCACACACTGGGGTCTGTTGGGGAGGATCTAGGGGAGGGACAGCAGAGGGCAGGGAGTTGGGGAAGGATAACATTGAGAGAAATGTCAGTTACAGGTGACTGGGATGGAGGCAGCAAACTACATTGCCATACATGTACCTATGCAACAATCCTGCATATTCTGCACATGTAACCCAGAACCTAAAGTTCAATAAAATATATTAACAAAAAGCTTATGATATGAGAGGGAAACAATCAGAACAGCACCAGTAAAGACATTTCATCTAGACAGTTACATTGGCAGAGATTTTATGTTGTATCTGTTTTGAAACTCTAAAGTCTGTGCAAGTCTTGTGACTTCCAGGGAAATTGCAGTTAATTTTTATTGCTTTATTCGTAGGTGTCTTAGCACTTGTTAACTTACTTAAAGTACCTTTCTTCCTTACCTGGACCAATGACAGGGAGCCCTATACACATTTCTAAAGCAGTTTGCGTAAGGCTTGGAGAAGCCAGGGTGTTAAAACACCCTGTCCACCAAATGTTGGAGATCTGTGTTGTGATCACTGACTGCTGCTTCTCATTACAGGAGATGTAGACACCGAGGCAGGCAAGTATTGTTACCAGCTTCTTTTTTGGCTGAAATGACTTCTAGTGGATTTACCATATCTTTTTTTCTGCTGTTTTATTTTTTTCTCTTTTGGCAGCTAGACTTATGCAGAATTAAGACATTCAAAACAATCACAAAATAGAGCTTGGTCAAAGGCTACAAAGTTTCAGTTATTCAGGATGCATAAAGTCTGGAGATCTGACATACAGTATGGTAACTATAGTTAATAATAGTGTATACTTGAGATTTCCTAATAAAATATATCTCAAATGTTCTTACCATATCTGTTTAAATAACTATGTGAGGTGATGAAAATATTAATTAGCTTCATAGTGGTAATCATTTGGCATTATACATATACAACCAAAACATCACATTGTATACTTTTTATATGTCAGTTATAATCCAATAAAGTACTGAGTAAATAGATTAATGCAAACTGAACAGAAGCAACCACATGTGCAGGGGACTTCAGAATGTCATTGGCTCAGCAAAGACTCAAGAAGACCTATACCTCAAACTGATGCTCAGCACAGAGGAATGCTACAATAATTTTTGAAAAATCAAAACCAGTAAAGTTATTAACTACAGTGTAAGACTCAAATGTCAGCTGGGTACAGTGGCTTATATCTGTAATCCTAGTGCTTTGGGAGGTTAAGACTGGAGGATCTCTTGAAGCTAGTAGTTTACGATAAGCCTGGGCAACATGTCAAGAATCTGTCTACACAAAACAAAAAAAGTAGAATATTTAAATATCCATGGTTCAGCCAAAAAAGAACAAAGCATACAAAGGAAACATAAGTATGTTTCATGAGTTCTGTTAAAGGATTAAGTATATAATAGTAATTTGTCATTTGATTGTGGGTCAGTAAGTGTGTCTCAGTTTTATTCTCTGTATGTGGCAGTGACATTCCTCATCAGTTGAATATTATGCCTAGGTGGCTTACATGGTACACATTTATCCTAATTTGCCTATTGTTAAAGAGAAGTCTAGAAATGAGCCAATGTGCATGAATCATCCCACCACATGTCTCTTACTAGGCCTCTACATGACGCTGTTGAAAATGATTATTTGGAAATTGTCCGCCTGCTCCTTTCCTATGGTGCCAACCCAACGTTGGCCACTTACTCAGGCAGAACCATTATGAAAATGACCCACAGCAAAGTTATGGAAATGTTTCTAACAGGTAGGTAACTTTAAGGCACAGGAATAAGAAAGTTCAAGATATTTTCTTTATTCAAATATTAATGGGAACAAGGTTATTGAGATTTGAGTTTTACTAGGTACAAATTAAAAAGCTTGAGACTTTAAAACAGAGGCAGTTTCACTTTGCAGTATAGTAGTTTATTGAAGCTAATTATTTTGGTAATTAGCCATTGATTCTATATTTCCCTTGATATATTTCTACTGATAATGCTCTAAAAGATTTCCCCAAATTATTTGGATTTCCTAGCAAGCATTTTTAAACAAGTAATGACTCAGATTTTACATCTTGATTCTGGATGATGGAAACCTGAAACCTCCCACAGAAGAGGTTATTTAGAATAATCTGTGTTGCTGAGTGAGTGAAGAATTTATCATGCAAGCCCCAGTCATTATTAGACTAACTTTCTATACTAATGTATGGCCACTAGGAGGCCACACAATATGCCACTGATGAGGAATGTCACTTCCATGTACAGATAATGAAATTGATATGCAGTTACCCACTTCAAATGACAAATTATTGGTATTGTACAGTTAATCCTTTAACAATACCCATGAAGGAACTATTTCATGACTAACTCTCAAACAAAAATATATTAGTGTATGGAAATGTAAATGACTTTTTGTGTTGATTTAGGATCCTGCAATTTTGCTGGAATTATTAGCTTTAACATTCTTTAAAAAGATGATCTCCTTTTTTATCTACAGATTACTTAAATGACCTACAGGGTTGTAGTGACACTAAGTTGAGTGGCTCTTGGGAGTTCTATGGCAGCTCTGTCTGTGGTAAGCAATATTATTGTTTTAGCTTAGTGGAAAATAAATATGAAGAGGACATTTCTCTGTGCTGTGGGTGAAGGGAGGTAGGTGGTGAATACTATAAACAGTGCCTAATTGGAAAATAATCTGTTTTTATATTTTTAGTTAGAGTACATTTGATGACAGCTGAAATCCTACTATTGCTTACTAACACCTTTGTCTCTCTCTTTTTTTTTTTTTTTTCTATATTAGAACCAGATAATGAAGGGGGATACAATGTTTTGGGAAACCCCCCAAGACCAGAGGACCAGGATGATGACAATGAGGCTTGCAGTGATGTGTTCAAATTTGAATTTTCAGATAGCCCCCTCTTACCATGTTATAACATTCAAGTTTCGTCTTCACAGGGGTAAGCATAGCTGTCATGTGACTGAAAATTAACTGATATTCTTTTAGAGGCAGTAACAGAATTTAAAACTCTTTTTAAGTAGATGAGGGTGAATGAGGGCTAAATGCCCAAGAATTTTACATGATGTAGTAAATAAGTTATTTTTTTGAAAAAGATTTATTATAGACCAATTGATTAGTTTTATAGCATAGTATAAATTAACCTCATTAAAACATGACCAATGCATTTAAGGCCCAGAACCCAAAGCATAGTAGCTTGTTACTAAATTTTTGGGGAAAAAATCCTGGGATTTCTTCAGCAGATTACTGCAAGGGCTTCTTGTGAACAAAATGTGTACTGTACAATACCATTAATCTCCCTTCTCATGTAGAATTAGGAAAATCATCAGTGGCACGTGGCATCTTTTGTGTATTGTCATAGTAAAATACAGTCTAAAACTCTGTATGAGCCACTGTGCTCTAGTGACCAATATTTTGTCAAGAGACCTTTGATAACATTTTAACATTGACGCTTAGTAAACAACAGTATTCTCAGGCTTTGGAGTTACATGTATCCCATTATAAACAGTGACATTTTAATTATACTTTATTTTTATTAATATGTCATAGATACTTAATTTGAGAGTTAATGTGATATTTTGATATATGCATACAATATGTATGGGGCTTTAAATATCCCAAAATCAGGGCTTTTGGGATACCCATCCCTTCAAACATGTATTATGTCTTTGTGTTAAAAACATTACAAATGTTCTCTTCTAGAAATGGACAATACATTATATAATTTTCCTACTGTGCTGTCAAACACTGTATCTTACTTCCTCACTCTTACTGTAGTTTAATAGCCATTTAACTATCCTCTCTTCATTCCATCTGTTACCTACCCTACCCAGCCTCTACTACCTAACCTTGTACTCTATACCTCCATGAGGTTAATATTTTTTAATCTCCCATCTATAGGTAGAACTGTCTGTGCCTGGTTTATTTGATTTAACACAGTGACCTCCAAGTTCATCCATGTTGCTGCAAATATCAGGATTTAAGTCATTTTGTGGTGGAGTACTCCATTATGTAAACATATTTCATTTTTAAATCTATTTGTCTGTTGATGGACACTTAGCTTTATTCCATATATGGCTATTGTTAAGAGAGCTGCAGTAGACATGAGAGTGCAGGTATCTTATTGATATGCTGATTTCATTTATTTTGAGTATATACCCAGCTATGAGATTACTGCATCACATGTTAATTTTATTTGTAAATTTGTGGAACTCATCAATAGCCTACATACATTTGTTTTTCTGCATTCTTACCAGCATTTATTTTTGTCTTTTGATAATAGGCATTCTGAGAGAAGATGATATCTCATTGTTGTTTTGATTTGAAATATTAGAAATAGAAACAGTACAGTTGTGTTGCACAATGTATGAAAGGAATGGAATTTGGGGAGAGGGAGCATCGAAGAGGTGTTTGTAGTCATACTTTAGGGGTGGAGTGCAAACTCTCTTACCTCAGTAAGCCTAGGGAGACATGTTAAGAGCCATTACCCAAATTATGGTGACAGCTGAGTCAATAGGAGTGTAATGTTTTTCATCACAATGAGAGCAATGGAGTAGATATTATGATAAATATCACTGAGGCGTTTATCTTACTTTATATAATTCAGTTTGGTTGGTCTTCTCCAAATGTCCAATAACCAGATGAGTCCAGAGTTACCCTCACTAGAAGTAAGTACTTACCCTTACACTGAAAGAAGAAAGTTGTTCTATGAGTGAGCATGGTGAGAAATGGCAGGGGTATTAAAGTGGAAGTAAGTGGCTCCCGAATGCATATAAACTATTTTTTTTTTTAAGATGGTAACTAATGGCTGGGAACACGTAATTTTGCCAGAAATTGGAATTATTTTCATTTTTATTTTGCAGACCACGAAACTGGTTTTTGCTTTCACATGTACTTAAGAAACTGAAAATGTCATCCTGCATATTTTGCTGCAGTTTTCCACATCTGAAAATTGTCCCAATTGCTGAGGCTGAGTTTTACAGACAGGTTTCAACAAATGTCTTGTTCTCTTCCTCCGAAGACTTGGAAGCCTTCAATCCAGAAAGCAACAAACTACTAGATTTAGTAGAATTTACAAATGAACTCCAGATTCTCCTTGGCTCCTCTCTAGAATGCTTAAATCCCAGGTATCTGACCTTGGAAAAGCACCACTGGTGAGAAGTCAAGTCTCACTGTACACCGTGTGTTGTAGTGTTCATCCTTGTTTATGTTTGTCAAAATACCATGATTTCTGTAGAGACATTATTACATATGAAAATACTTCAGCTTTATATAAGATAAATAACTCTAGCTAGAAGACTTAGAAAGATATCTTTTTATTTTAAACTTACTTTTGTTATGAAATTGCTGAAATGCTTCTTTACTTTTAAGTATATGGACACACCTTTCAATAAATTTATTTTCATTTGGAACAGCTTTTAAAATAAAAATATAAGGGAGACAAAGACTCTTACCCATTAATTTTTTCCCACACAAAGCCCTCATAACAGAGATAATTAATGTTTATGAATAATGTCATTAAAATTGAGAAAATGTTTTGGGAGAAAAAATTTGATAAAAGCATTTTGTATTGTAACATTTTTGTTTTGCTTACTGTATATCTTCTCATGCTGAGTATGCTGTTTGGTATATTTCAAATTAAACTACAGTGAAACACAGCTAATTGTACAAAATTTATAACCTAACTTAAAGGTTATAAATTAGTTCCTATGCACCAAACTCAAGTATTTTATGATCTTTTAATGAAAAGACTTTATTTTTCACCTCCTCCTTTTTTTCGTATTCTCCTTTAATTAATTAATTAAATTATTTATTTATTTATTTTTGAGACAATTTCTCACTGTTACCCAGGCTGGAGCGTAGAGGTGCAGTCAGCTTACTGCACCCCCTACCTATGTGAAATCAGTGGTCCTCTCATAATTAGCCTCCAGAAAAGCTAGGACTACAGGCCTGTGTCAACTTGTCTGGTTAATTTTTGTATTTTTTGTTTGAAACAGGGTTTAGCCATGTTGCCCAGTCTGTTCTAAAACACCTGGGGTCAAGTGATCCACCTGCTCCTACCTCGCAAAGTTCTGGAATTACAGACCTGAGCCACCATGCTTGGTCTGTTTTTCTGTCCACTCTAAAATGTTGAAAATTAATGACAGTTGAGTTTGCTTGAAAATGCAAATATTTTATTTCTGTGCTTATAATTTCTTTCAACTTTATCAGATTTATGCTTTTTGTAACACTTTTCTGGAAATGTTCTGAAGATGCAATAAAACTTTTGAGGAAATAAATGAGTGTGCTATTTGATCCTAAAACATGTTACATTTTTTTTTAAGTTGCAAAATTTCTTTGGTGACTTTATTTCAATTATTTAAAACATTTTATTTCAATAGATTTCGGGGGTACAAGTTTTTTTGTTACATGGATGATTTATATAGTGGTGAATTCTGAGACTTTAGTGCACCTGTTACCCAAGTAGCATGGATAGTACCTAATTTGTAGTTCTTTTATCCCTGACCCCTCTCACTCTTTACCTTCTGAGTCTCAGGTTCACTGTGTTAATCTACCTGACTTGTGTGCTCATAGCTTAACTCCCACATGCAAATGAGAATATATGATTTTTGGTTTTTCACTCTGCCTTATTTCACTTAGAATAATGGCTTTTGGCTCCATCTAAGTTGCTGTAAAAGACAGTATTTTGTTCCCTTTTATGGTTGAGTAGAATTCCATGTTGTATATATATCACATATTCTTTATCCACTCATTAGTCAATGGTAGCATATAGGTTGATCCTGGATCTTCGCAATTGTGAATTGTTCTATTATAAACCTACATGTGCAACTGTCATTTTCATATAATGACTTATATTTCTTTGGGTAGATACCCAGTAATGGAATTGCTGGATCATATGGTAGTTCTAGTTTTAGTTTCTTAAGGAATCTCCACCTGTTTTCCATAAAGTTTGTACTAATTAACATTCCCACTGGCAGTGTGTGTTTTCTTTTCCCCACATGCATGCCAACGGCTATTTTTTGACATTTTAATAACAGCCATTCCTGAAGGAGTAAGGTTGTATCACATTGTAGTTTTAATTTGCTTTTATCTGATAATTAGTGATGTTGAACTTTTTTGCATGTTAATTTTGTTGGTCATTTGAGAAATGTCTGTTCATGTCCTTTGCCCACAATTTGATGGATTGGCTGACAAATTGATGCTTTTTTCTTTGTTTTTGTTTTTTTTTCTTTTCTTTTCTTTCCCCCACCCCATTTATTTATTTTATTGCATTTTAGGTTTGGGGGTACATGTGAAGAACATGCAAAATTGTTGCATAGGAACACACGTGGCAGTGTGATATGCTGCCTTCCTCCCCATCACCTACATCTGGCATTTCTCCCCTTGCTATCTCTCCCCAGCTCCCCACCCCCCATTGTCCCTCCCCTATTTCCCCCCAACTGACCCCAGTGTGTAGTGCTCCCCTCCCTGTGTCCATGTGTTCTCATTGTTCAACACCCGCCT